TGTCTAGGCGATCCTGGCGTCGAGGGCTATAATTCCTACTGATCAATTTCTTGATTTGAGTCGGTAAGTTTCGTTCCTCTTTTCTAGGTTTTCCCTTAAATTTGTGATTATGCAAATTTTCTGTCTTTGCATGAGAATTGTGTCTCTCTTTCTTGAGTCTTAGCTCAATTTAGGTTTTAAGGTTGGTTTCCTATCACCAATCGCTGATTTGTAGGGTTTTTTAGAGCTTCCTTGCGGTGCAAGCATCAATAGGGGTTTTCTAGAGCTTTGCATCGTTTCTCTAAGGTAAGGGAAGCTAGATTATTGTTTTAATTTGTGATTTGGTGTGGATGTGTGATTACTCTGTGTTTATTGTAGCGATTGGACTAAATTTAGGTTTTTAGAGTAAATATACTATGTATAACTTGACACATTTTAAAGATATATTGAGGAACTATGATATTGAAATGAATTGAATGATGCTTGATGTGTTATTTACTATATGGAATGTTGGAAATCTATTAGAGAGTGATCAGTTAAGAATTGAAGTGATTTATACTTGTTTAAGTTAGTTTTTGAGGAAGTGGGGTAGTGAAATTTTGAATTACGAGTTGGGTAGTGAATTGGTGAGTTGGAATAGGCTAGGCAGGTTAATTGGGACTTTCTTGAGTCCCTAAGTTGCTGAAAATGGTAGCAAAAGTGGTAGAACGTGATTTAGGTCAATAAGTTGATGAATTGGATGTTTTAGAGCAGAAATTTGTTAGTAAACACTTTAGAATGGGGTTAGGAAGGTTCAAACACACTTAGTCAAGTACAATTAGGTATATAACACAATTTAGGAGGGTTAGAAGTTGGGGAAAATAGTTGGAATTGGTAAATTTGGTGTATGTTGCGTAATTTTGCAGACTTGGTGCTGTAGATTATGCAAACTCGCTGAGCGAGTAGAGTCGCTCAACGAGTGGTCGTGGAGGTTGGCTCCCTGTTTGTTGGTTCGCACAGCGAAAAGGGTAGTTGAGCGATAGGTCTAGGTCTAGGAGCATTGTGATTCTATTCGACCAGTGCATTGGAGTGACTGAGCGAGTGAGTTGAGGGACAGGTCTACTGTCGGGTGAGTTTCGCTTAGCTAGTGATGTCTCATAACATGAGTTCAGGGTCTAGTACCATTGGGAATTTTATACGCTCAACAAGTTGGGTCGCTGAGCGAGTGAGTTTGAGGTTGGGGTTACTATTAGTGGATTCGCACAACGACCCAGCTCGTTGTGCGAGTAAAGTTTGTGGTCACTCAGCAAGTGTGTACGCGGAGCGACTGTTCCAGATTACTATGTATCCTTTTATTCTTTTATCTTTATTGGTTTGAGTTATGTAATTGATTCAATTATGGGTGATGTATGACTATATGATGTATGACTATGTATGGTTATTATGTGAGTATCAAAAGTTATGTGTGTGTGGTAATGTGAAACCCATGGTAATGGCTTTGAAGGCAGTAGAGGCCACCACAAGTCCACTACTCGTCATAGTTCGGTATTCATTCTAAGTCCGGACAGTCAGGTCTAAGTTATAACATGTTTAGGATGTTTGAAGTTAATTATATCACATGAATGAGTTACATTTTGATTGTATGTTACACTAATGTATGAATCTTTTATATCTAGCTTACCCTTCTATCTATGTTTGTATTTTGTTTCGGTGGGGATTTGAAGGACCGAGAAACGTACCTTTCCTGATGATGTGCATTTCCTACTTTCTAATGGCTGTGTCGCCTGCTCCGCTCGGTCGCCACCTGCTCCGCTTGGTTGTCGCTTGCTCCGCTTGGTTGTATTCTTGACCAGGGGGGAGGTACCTGCAAAAGGCACTCTGACGCTCAAGTTAGGAGCGGTTTGATGAATTGTTTATCATAGTTGAGTATTTTAGTTTTGATCGAACATACCTGGTTGTTGGCCCTGTCATTATATTTATAAGTGCTTCATAGATCAAATAAAAACAAACTCACCTGGAGATTCAGTTAGTTACTCATAAACGGCTTATCAATATCTCTAATGAGATGTCTTTGATTATTTTATCGTCTGCTGGACTATCGGGCCAATAATAACTTGAACGTTGGCCCAATTAGGACCCAACATTGTTGATGTGGCGGATGGACCGAACGGTCATGGATGCTAACTGTTTGGTAGGTATTATACACCATACATATGCCCCCAACTCCGAGTTAACCTTTCGGCTTTAGCCAAGGTTAACTATAGGACTTATATGAGCTTGAGAGAGACCGTCCTCGCTGTATTGGGGAGGTTGTTTTGATTGTACTTTGGGTCGCTGCTCTTTAGAACTTTTTCTTGTGTGTCCGAACTGCGGGATACCTTTGAGGCTGAATGGCCGAATGCTTGAGCACTTGAGGCCATGGAAGGCCGAAGAGTAGAGGCCTAATGACCGAACACCTGTGAGGCCGAATGGATGAAATGTAGATGATTAAACTCATTTTATAAGACTGAACGGTGAAGCAAGCGAGACTGTTCAGTTGAATATTCAGATGAGAGTGATTGTTCCTTTGTTTTTAGCATCCGTCCTAGGAGTTCACTAAGGGATTTCTTGATGGCCGAGCTTAATCAGATTAAGACCAGGAGTTTATCGGACAACATTCCCTTGGTTTTGCTAACGAGATGGACATTTCACGTAGCTCACCAATCGGTTTAGTACGAGAGTGAGAGTTCACGAAGGTCATCGCTCGATTTAGGACGAGAGTGAGAGTTCACGGAGAACGTACCTCACCGCTCGGTTTAAGACCCGGGGTTCTCGGAGAGCGTTCCCTGGGTTTTGTGGACGAGACTTTGTTGCTCGACTTTTCAACCTAGGAGTTCGTTTTGGAACTTTTTAGTGGACAAGAGTGTCAGTCCTTGGGGACGTGCAACACCGCTCGGTTTAGGACGAGAGTGTCAGTCCTTGGGGACGTGCAACACCGCTCGGTTTAGGACGAGAGTGAGAGTTTCCAGAGAACGTTCCTCACCGCTCAGTTTTTCGACCTAGGAGTTCGTTTTGGAACTTCCTAGTGGACGAGAGTGTTACTCCTCGGGGACGTGCAACACAGCTCGGTTTAGGACGAGAGTGAGAGTTCATGGAGAACGTTCCTCACTGCTCGGTTCAGGACGAGAGTGAAAGTTCATGGAGAACGTTCCTCACCGCTTGATTTAGGACCAGGGGTTCTCAAAGAGCGTTCCCTGGATTTTGTAAAATCGCCATGCAACCGTTCGGTGACTTGAGACGATAATTTCCAAGTTGACCAAGTGGTTGTATACAGGATCATGTCATATGTACCTGTAAGTAATAATTTTCTACACAAACTTTCTCCGATCATATGGATAAGAGTGATCGACCTGATGTCTTGCTGACAATTGATACATTTAGAAATAACAAGGAAGCAATATAGAAGAGCATAAAGCCTGTGATGTCAAACGATAGAATGGATTGAACACTGGATGCCAAATTTGCTTAGTACCTGAGGCCATGGAAGGCCGAGCAGTTGAGGCCGAAGGGCCGAATACTTGTGAGGCCGAATGACTGAATAGTTGTGAGGCCGAAAGACCTAATAGTTGAATGGTTGAGCACTTGATGCCAAATTTGGCAAAGTGGTGAATGCGTCATTGGACCCTTTATAAGTCTTGAATAATATTATAATATTGAATTAAGATATCATCTAGTAAGTAAGAATAATTATCACAATATATGTATTTTTTGAACAAAGACGAATGCATGAAGGTGCTGAAACTATTTTTATGATGTTGGTGAGTTTTTTCGTAGGTGATGCATCAATCACAAATGATGCTTTTATATGTTGAGATGTATAACATGAATATTCCAAATGGTTTAGAAGTATATCATATAATATAAAATGAATTTAAGATGGTTAAATCAAAATATTTATCTGTAAAGCCGTAGAAGCTTGCTGACGTTGATGGTGAGAGTTTCTTCAATCGGGATCAATATGTAGGGGCCTGGTCGACTTGAGGATGTTGAGACTTCGTCCTTGTTTGGTTCCTTGCGGTTTCAGCGGGATGTCGCTCGGCCCCACGGTGGGCGCCAAAATGTTTCGGTGGGGATTTATAGGACCGAGAAACCTATCTTTCCTTACGTGACTTTCCTGCTTTCCAATGCTTGTGTCGCCTGCTCCGCTCGGTCGTCACCTGCTTCGCTCGGTTGTCGCCTGCTTCGTTCGGTTGTATTCTTGACCAGAGGGAGATACCTACAAAAGGCACTCTGACGCTCAAGTTAGGAGTAGTTTAGTGAACTGTTTATCACAGTTGAGTATTTTAGTTTTGATCGAACGTACTTGGCTTTTGGCTCTGTCATTATATTTATAAGTGCTTCATAGATCAAATAAAAACAAACTTACCTGGAGATTCGGTAAGTTACTCATAAACAGCTTATCAATATCTCTAATGAGATATCTTTGATTATTTTATCGTCTGCTTGATTGTTGGCCCAATAATAACTTGAATGTAGGTCCAATTAGGACCCAACATTGTTGATGTGGCGGATGGACCGAACGATCATGGATGCTAACCATTTGGTAGGTATTACATACCATACATATTTGTATGTGGCAATGTTTCTTGTTTGGCTGTGATCATCCAGTAAGTGTGAGCAGAGAGAGATGAACTTACTGTGAAGTAGGCGCTTGATGGGATAATCCGGTGGCTTAATTATTTTAGTCTAGTTCGTAGATAGTTTTGTTTTATCGCGTTTGTATATAAAGTTTAAATTTATAGTTGTTTTGGATAACTATAAGTTATACTTTATATTTTATTTAACTGTTTTATCATATATACATGTGAGAACTCTTTTATATAATATTTTACTATATTTTTGAGATGTTAAAACTTAAAAACATATTTAATTCTATATATTAGTAGTGAATATAAAAGTAAATTTCTTTAAAAGGTGTTAAACTATTTGAAACGGCTAGAATATTTGTACTATAATTCGGTGTGTTTCGATCAACAACGTTAAAAACGACGATAGCACAAGAACCGCAAGAGAGAGAGACGTCAAGTACAAAGAAAAATAAAAAACTTGCAGTCACCAACCAAAATCCCAAAACAGCAAATCACAGCACAGTGACACTAACAAAAATCAAAACAAATTTGGCGGATGCAAAATTTTCTTCCATTCTCCAATCCAACCACAACAACGAAACCACTCCAAAATCTAAAACTGTGAATATAAACAAACAATCCAAGCGAGAGAAAACATGCTACTCCATCCCGTGCTTCCTCTCTCTCCCTATCCATCTTTCGTTTCAAACCGTTCGCTCCGATTTCGCCCTCGTTGGAGCAACTTCGTTCCTCGTCGCGCCGTCCAGTGCACTGCCGCGGTCTCCGGCGGCGACGAGTTCACTGCGAAGACAGGGTGATTTTAGTAGAGCTTTTTAAATGTTGAGTGCATAAGTTTATTTTAGTTTAGGTAAAATTTAATTTGGTAGTATCTTCTTATTTTCTTTTCTTGTAAGTGTTTACAAAGAAGTTCATTCAAATAAGGCGGAAATGAAGATTCTTGAGATTTTTTTTTTGTGATTTGTACTGGAAAGAATATTTTTATTTGTTTATTTATTTTTTCTTTTGTTTTGCAGGTTAGAGCTGCTGTGCTAAGGAAAATGTTGTCAGAGTTTGGGCCGGTATGTAAAGCTGTTTTTTTAGTAGGATTGAACTTGTTTTCTATAACTTGCATTTTTGTCTTTGAACTTTGGCATTTGTGGGACATTGATGTTGTTCACCTATTCATTCTTCCATGTTGATAAATTTTGTGACAGTAGTTGTGAATTTGTTGCCTATCTGTTTTCTTATTTTTTTCTTCTCATGGATTTTTTGTTGGGTTTCAGCCCTGTATGGACAACAAATTGATTTCAGTTTGAACATTCAGGGTAAATTTGATTTCTCCCTTGAGATGGAAGGGGGATTTCCGAATTTTAAATTTTGAATAGAAAACTAACCCTGAAAACTTCTATCCTCACTTTTTTGGGTTAACAAATTGCTCCTTACCGTAATTCCCTACATCCTTTTTGCACCTATCTGTCCCTACATTTTGTCTTTATTTTTCTTCTGAATCTTATTTTATTTTCTTGTAACTTGTTCGACAGTGGGACAAAATGAATCAAATGTTTCAATTCCTAGATATTGTTCCTCTAAATTTGGAGGTCTTTCTGATATTTTCTTTGGATTTTGTTTACTTAAATCTGATAAATTTCAACTTTTTTTTGTCCTAAAGCGATCTATTGTGACACCTCAACAGTTTTTTTTAAAGCCAGGGAATCGACATAGGTTCCCTTCATCTCCTACTCCATCCTCTTTGGTATGAACTATTTTCCCTATTCTAGGTTTGTATAGGGGGAATATATCCTTTAAAGTGAGTCTTGAAGATTACTAATGACACAATGGATGAATGCTATATTGATGCATAAGATGAATAATAATTTAGTTTAGTAGTGGTTTTTGTTAAATCAGCATGACCACAAGCGAAAGTGTCTTATTTCTTAATTGCTATTTTATACTACTTTTTTGCAGGCATATATTGAAATTGCCCAGGCTATATCATCTCGTGCTGTAAGTTTAATTTTTATCTGTCACATTAAGACTTATGCCCATGTTCTTCTGTTTTTTCTCATCTTTGTGATCCTTCTTATAAAGTTTTCCTGTTATTATATGTCAATTGCTAAAAGATGACTATAGGTGAAGGAATTCAATGAAAACTGTGATTTACTTGTTGGCGATAAAGCTGTACTCTTCCATCCTAATTATGCTTTTTAAAACTGTTAAAACTGTTAAAACTGTATACAGCATAACCAGGAGTCAAGATTCCTATTAAATTTTATAATTGATGAAGACTGCATGCAATGTAACATCAATAAGGAGGCTTTTTTTCTTTCATTGAGTATATTTTCAGTTCCTTTAGGACACACATCAGGGGAATGTGAAAATAAAAAAGAACCAAGGGACAGTTAGTTAGACATTTACAATCCTGTCTTCTAAAGTTTTGCACTTCAAACCTTGCCTATTTTGAATTAAATGTCCTAAACATAAATACCTGAAAATATTACATATGATGATCTGATTTTGTGTTATATGTGGTTGATTTACAGATTTGTGATTTCAACAGGTGTGATTGGTACGTATGCCTTAGAACTTCAATACCAGTTGATAGGGAGTTATTTATTTTTCTATGAACTCAGTTTTGGGGGGAGTGAGGCATTGTACATGTTGCCTACATGGTACCCTTCAATCTTGTATCTATCTGTTTGGGTATGTTATATTTTGAAGTTCTATATTGCATTGGTTTATTAATTATAGATTCCTATATATGCAGGCTGTTGTTGATGAGTTGGCATTAAGTCACTTCCAGTATGCATTGTTTTCTTGTATTTGCACCATAATGATGTTCTAGGTAGAGTATGTGTGATTGCATTTGGTAGAGAATTAAAAAAAAAAAACATGAATGAAGGCTAGAAAATCTAAACAGGAAAGGATTTTCTAGTCGGTTTGAATCATGCTTCTGTAATCTTGGGAGTTCTTTCTTGTTTTGCCTTACCGGCACTCTATCATGCTATTCTTAGGTCTCTATCAGTATGTCACTCAATAATGTGAAATTATTTTCACTATTTCTGATACAAACATATCGAAAGAGAATTGAACCTGAAAAGTGATTGATTTTTATAACTAAAATTGAAAATAGAAAAAGAAAACATAAAGCATTTTCCCACCGTGGCTTTGCTTGTATCCGAAGGAAATCATTTTCATATTCGAAGTATGCTCTTGGAGATTTCTTAAGACCATATAAGGCCTCCTTTAGGAAACATACCATACCATATTCCTTCCACTATGAATTTCAAATCCTGAAAGAATCTCCATGTACACTTCTTTTTCTAAAGCTCCATGAAGAAAGACATTCCTCACATTCCAATGGTGCAAGTCTTAACCTAAATGAGTTGCCATAGCAAAAACAACTTGAACTGTATTTATTTTTAATACTGTAGCAAATGTTTCTCTATAGTTAATTCCATAAGTTTGAGTGTATCTGGTTGGATACTTAGAGTCTATAAGAGAAGGAAGAGAACATAGACTTTTAAGGGGTTAGTTAACTACTGTGAGTAAGTGGCGATGCATTTGTTTTAATGCAGGGGGTAGTAGTTTGACTGTTGGGGGGAAAGAGCAACCTATATAAGGGTTGTATAATTCTGTAAGAGGGTTAGCTATTGTTTTGATTGTTGTATAGACAGGACAATTCTTATCCTGTGGAGGTGGGATTAATCCCCCTTTTGGAGGCTTGTACAGTTGGGAATACTATACAGAGGAAATATACAATTCTTTTCTTCTTTCTGATGTTGGGTGTGTGTTTTACTGTTGAGCCTTGATAGTTCTTGGTCCTTCTTGACCCAAGAACCTATCATTATCCCTATGCAACCGATTTGGTTTTATATATGTTTTCTATTGATTTATATTTCATTGTAAATATCCATCTGCACCCCATCCTTCAATGACAACAATAAAGTTTCGATATTTATTAAAAAGATTGTGAATACAGACATAGTAAGAAATATAGTATTTAATAAGATCTTTTTCTCTTTCTCAATGCAATGGTTAAATTCTAAATATCAATAAGCTCCTCACAATTCTCTTCAATGATCCTCACCTTTGAGTGAAACATCTCTTACGCTTATTGCTTCTGAGTCAAAGCGGGTTGTTTCCTCATTATTTGTTTACAATTTTAAATAAATCTCATGCCATTCTACACAACTTCAGCTTAACCCGCACAACACCAAAGTCGTGTAAACCATGCTGGACTTCATCCTAAAACACCGGTGACTGCAAAGAAAATGAATAAAACAAAAAACGGATTAGCCTAATCAAAGTCGTGTGTATAGAATATGCAAGTTCCAGTAACATTGTAGTCGTGTTGGCCTACCTACCAGAAAGCATGACTACTTCCCAATGAAATATTTTCTTTTTAAATTGTCCATTTTGGTAAAATTGAAAACAAATTACATCAGTTTGGTGAATTTTCCCATTGTATAATATATCATAATCTACCATAATCGATTATTTTATACAAGTCAATTTATGTTGTCCTTGGTGCAATGTAATACAACGCACGCAATCATCACTCTTCCTTCCCAATCTGTAGTACATCTTTATTAACAAACATAACGTGAACAGAAAATTTGTCTAAACCCTTTATGCCTTTTATGCACAGGTCAGCAATGAACTGCTCATAATACATAAACAGAAATTGTTTCTGTGATGCACCACAGGAACACAGACCTCAGTTCATACACCTCACTCCTGAATCTGGACAGGCTCAAAACCCCTATCAATTGAAGCCTTCACAGCATCCACTACGAGTTGAGTTTTCCTACTAATAGTTGGCCACTTCTTCTCGGGTTTTGCTTTCTTGAATTTGATATCTGCCACCAAACGGGAAAGCTCATTTACCATAAGAGCCTCCTGAGGTATGTCAGTTTCTATTATAAGCTTGATTGGCTGTGGAACCCACTTTGTAACAGCTTCATCAACACCTGATTCTGTAGCTGCATAAAATGATGCTTCATTTTCTTCATATGGGAGAACGAAGTCATGAACATGTAGAGTTCCTTTTGTCCCTAGAGCAGTTATATCCGTTGACATGTAGGACAAGAAGGAGCAATAAAAGGTTGCTGCTTTTCCATCTTCCCAGTACAAAGTAGCCCCACAAGCCAATATCACCCCAACTTGATTACGCTCAGGGTTGCGCGAGGCGATAACAGTTTTTGGTAGTTCATAGTTGGCAGCCCACAGTATTGCCCTAAGACAGTACCAACCTGCATCGCCAAGAGCACCAAGAGCATCAAGATCTGGCTTCACACGAATGTCATTCTCAAGAAAATCGGCACTAGCCCTGAACGTAAAATTGGAGTGAATCTGGGAAAGTAAATGAAATGATGGTCAATGCAGAACATTATTGCATAATACAGCACTCCCCCTCCCCAATACTAACATGGCCAAGAGTCTAAGTCTCTAAGGAATGTCTTTTAACCTGTCTTTTCATTTACAGTAGTAGATGGTCATTGGTAACATTATTTAGAGACCCTTATTTCCCTTGATTACTTACGTGACTGAGATTAAAATCACAGTCATAAAACTTGCGAAGAAATCTATAGGAGAAAAAAAAGACCCTTTGAAAATAGATGTTCAAACAAGATAAAACAATTAGAGAGAACCAGAATATGAAGCACCTCAGATTTAGATGAAAAGGTAAAATAGAGAAGGTTTCAAATATGCAACCAAATCTTACCCTTAATAAAATAATAATATTTTTACTTTAATAGTTTATTCACCCTAAATTATTTCATATTTTAAAATAAAAATTATCATGTAATTGGTGCTGAATGAATATTTAATAGGTGTTTAAAAAAACAATAACATCTTTACTGATAAAGTTCATCTACCCCCAAAATATTTCATAGTTTAAAATAAAATTTGTTGTGTTATTTGTGTTTAATATTCATATTTTAAAATAAAATTTGTTGTGTTATTTGTGTTTAATAAGAAAAGCTGAAAATGATGCTAACAAAAAGCAACATCGAATGAGGCAGGTTCATACCGATCTGAGCTGGCCAAAACGGTTTACGTCGGAGAGAAACTCCTTCATGTTCGAGGTGCGGGGGTGGTGCATCCACATGGTACCGTCCATGAGCTGCACTCCATTGGATTCGCACGCCGCGATGATCTCGTCAAACTCAGCAACATTAAGAGCAACTGGCTTCTCAAGCAGCACGTGCTTCTTCTTGCTGGCGGCGAGCACGGCCCAGCGAACGTGCAGGCTGGTGGGGAGCGGCAGGTAGACGGCGTCGACCTCGGGATCGTCGAGGACGGCCTCATAGGAGCCGTACACCTTGGCGGCGGCGGGAAAGCAGTTGGCGGCGGCGAAGGCGCGGGCCTTGTCGATGGAGCGGCTTCCGACGGCGTGCAGGACGGCGTTGGGTGCGAGCGCGACGGCACGGGAGACCCTGCGCCCAATTCCGGCGCAGCCGATGAAGCCGAAACGGATTTTGGGGGTTTCCGCCATTTGGAGAGTTGAAGTGTGGAGACGAAGTGCCCGTAGATAAAGGTTGTTTGCTTTTCAAGAAATTACACCATTACTATGAGACCTTGCAGTTCCAGATTTGACTCTGTGCATGCAATTCACCTAGAGCAGGAGCAGTGATTCGTTGACTCTCATCTTCCTTTCCATACTCATCCTACAACATTATAAATTATTGTTTTATTATAATATAATCTTTTATTATAATATAATGTTTTATTAAAAAAAGTAGTTGTATAATGGAATTAATTTATAAATGATAATGTCAAATTACTCATTCTCTCACCTCACCCACCAATGATAAACGTGCTTCAAACTTCAAAAAAACATGTGTATTTTTAACCTAACATATCATAACTACATGTCCCTTGAACCCGACAAACAACACCAAACGAATCTCAATTGTTACACATTTCTTAACAACTTTTTTCTTAGAAATTTAAAGTAATTAGTACTTAAAAGAAATTGATGTATTTTTTCCTTTAAAGCTTAAAGCAATGACTTTGCTTAGACCTTGAGTTGATCTGTGTTTATGTTTCTGTTCTGTATGAGTTTGTATCTATGCTTGTATTTATGTTTGTGTGTTTGTGTGAGTTTGTATATCTCTTTCTTTAATTATTTGCATTTTTCTAATTATTTGTGTTTGTGACTCTAATTGATATCAAAGTTGTCAAATATGTCAAGTTATTTTCAGAGATGGTTGAACGTAGGATAATCTTTAAAAGAAGTTGAAAACTTACATTTCTTGTTGTCATTTCCTGATTATGTGTTTTTTCTTTACTAGTTTCATTTATTGGTTACATTTTTCTTCTATCTCTAGAGTTTGAGATTTAGTTCTTTCACCTCACTAACATTTCGTTTTTCAATTTCTAAAATTTTTTTATTTTCTTTTTAATAAATTGTTCATTACCGTAATTCCCTACATCCTTTTTGCACCTATTATGGGAAAAAATGAATCAAATGTTTCAATTTGTAAAAACCCAGAAAATAGCCTCTTGAAAGTAGATAGATGTATTAAAATAATGAGACCGAACACTTTGTGTTAAAATAAGCCAACAATATAAATAGAAATTTCAAACACTCGGTTCATTATCTAAATACTTTCCATCTTTCTAAAACACTATTCTCTACTCTTCCTCTCCTTTCTCTCTAGAAATTCTCACAGTGGCTCATCTGTTCGACGATTAGGAGGTACCTAGGTGATCCTAGCGCAAAGGACTTTCTGTTTCACCGATCAGTTTGAGGAAAAGAGCAGGTAAGTTTCGTTCTATTGTTCTTGGTGATTTCTAGTTTTTGATGCATGTAAGAAATGTTTCTCTTTGCATGTGTTCCGTGG